ATGTAAAAAAAAAAAAAAAGTAAATATAAACGAATATCGAATACCAAATTTTCATGACGAATACCTACCCATAGAAACGAATATTCGAATACTGCGCTGTATCGATTTTTTCCTCCACTCTTAGTGAACATGTCATTGTATATAATCAGTGCTAACGTGATGTGTAGTAATCACAGTTTACCAGACATACCAAAACACCAGCATCATACTTTAAGAATTTGTGATTAGTTCCATGATAATCAGTTGATAAGGCTAAACAATATTTTGAATAACAAAGTGACTTAAAATTAAACAGCTTTTGACTCTTTTGAAGAAAGAGATCTCCTGTATCGCATCTTTTTCATAACCAAAACATTCAGGTTTGTCAAACAACCATTTTGCCAGGTTGTTTCATCCTCTTTACTCACTTTAAAGTTAGATACACAAATCCCCACGGTACATATCCTAATTTGTTTGCTTCGTATGCTAAATGAATCTGTTGCCTGAGTATGACTGTAGTAGCTGGTATTTCACCATGGACTTAAGTGTGTTTAAGATAAATCAGGACTGGTAATACTTATTTTCTTTCAAGCAGTGACATGTGTTGTATAGTGTAACATACTGGGACTAATTTGCATCCATAACAATATAAGAAATTTTGATATTATGCAGAAACAGTTTATGCATAAAGATGATCAAAAATCTACTTGAATCAAGACACAGGCAGACAGATACTGCCATCATACTGTCCTGCACCATGCAGCTTTGTGGGAACATAATATCACCAGATCAAAAGGTGGTGGGAACAAAGTAGCAGTACCTGATAGTGGGTATCCTGTCCAGCCTGGACTCAGGACTCCAGGCGAGAGCATCGACTCGCAATCCATGATGGAAAGCTCGAAGAACATTGAACTCTACTCCCTCAACCTCCATATCCTCCTCCTGTGGGAACAAGTATGCATTATAAAGGAACATACTGGGTATTAATACAAGTAAACCAGACTGTATGAAGCTGCATCTCTAACCTGAAACAGGCAGGTGCTGACGACCACATACTGGTTTCCACCGTAGGCCAGGAGAGAGGCAGGGGTACCAGAGCTGAAAGGACTGAATTCAACCACATGAACGTAGTCCTCACACTTCACAGTGTAACTGGGACTGCGGCTGGAGTCCTGCTGCATGCTGGTGTCCTGGTAAAGCTGGTTTCAGATCAGAGTTTCAACTGTAAGACATCAGAATAAAAGAAGACACTGAACTATTAGTCTAATGATCAGCAAAGAAAGATGTTTGCCACTGTGAAAGGAACAACACCTGCTAAGAAAATTGGGTGTTAACTTGAGCTACAGTTGGCTGATATTGACTAAATATATATTTTGAGATGATACAGCTCTGACTGCATTGCAATAGAGAATCATATATGAATGATGGAGGACTGCATCTATTTCCCCCCACTCCAAGCTTGAGCAGGACCTCAATAAAGCACTGCTTTTTGTGAGGACATAATTTATAGTGGAATAAAATCTGTGCACAGTGCTCACTGCCTATGTTTAGTTCTATGACTCACAAAAAGAAAAACTACGGTATTAAATCTATAACATCAGCTGTCACAGATCAAACAGTTCCCAACCCTCTGAAGAGCACTGTAGGCAGTTAAATCAGTCACCCTCATACGGTATGGATTATGCACTAGATTGTCTTTAGGAGGCTTGAAATCAACGTCAGACCAAACGTCACTCAAATAAATCCACGTTTGATATATTCCAGTATGCATGCATAGCTAGTAGGGCATGTGCCTGTTTGTGCAAACCTATATCATAACCCTTGAATTCGGCATATGTCGAACACATGAAGCAGTTCAATATTTAACGTATGCTTAACTCAAATGTTGGTATTACCCTTAGCTTAGCTGGAGGCAAGTGAGAGGTTAGATTGATATTCCCACATATATGTTTTACAGCTCCTGGGTTATTTCAGGACAATGCAAGCTAACTCTGTTGTGTATGTTAGCTTAAATGAGCTAACGTTACATTCACAGTCCCCGTGTTTAAGTAACTAACGTTTCACATAACGGTAATGTGTCACCGGGCAAAGAGCTAAAACGTGACAGCTACACTACCTGTAAGTGCACAGCTAGCTAGCATTTAGCCAAACAAATGTTTCTACTGCCCGTTTTTACTATTTAACGCCCCGACTGAGAACTTAATACGTACCTCTTGGTTATGAGACTTTTTTTCTGATTCAGGATACGGTACAGGCTGATAAACTTTACCACTTTATTTTTAAGTATTTCTTTAAATCAAATGGTGCGCGCGTTTGAGATGTTTTCAAGCTGCTTCCGGGTACGACATGGAACGTACCATTGAGCGCACTTCTCAAGGGGGGGTTAGCGTATCCTTACTAAAAATATCTATAATATTCCGCGACATATCGGCATATTATTGTATTATGACGTTTTATTTAAAACTAAAGAACACTTTTTACTCTTTTGCGATGAAAATACGACAAACATAATGCAGCAGAGAAATACTCAAAATGGTCGAGCTCTCCTGTTGTTGTCTACGAAAAGCTGATTGGTCAGAAGGCATATAACGTCATCGGGAGTTTAAAAATTCAAACTGCTTTTAGCTGTGGACGTGTGATCACGGAGACTGCTGCACTATTAGAGGTTTGCACTGTTAAATTAACATTATTTGTGATTTAGTGTAGCCATTAACTTACGATACGCTTAATTATATGTGAGCATCTTGAGGGAATTGACAAAAAGACACAGAGTGACGCACTGATTTGAATAATATGACTCAGTACCATTGTGCCTCAGAGGCCAGAGACTCTGAGGGTTACTTTTGTGTTTACCTGACAGTCCATTGGCTTTGTATTGTTCCTTAAAAGTTACATTTTTATGATTATAATCGGCTCTCTGTGATTTCACAATAGTCTACCTATCTTTGCTGTGAGTCATGGTTTCACTGGCATTTTACTCTACTGCTGTTTCAGGGGAAAATGGAGGCACTAGGGGACCGTCTGAAGGTGATGGTTAAAGTCTTCAGGAGAGAGTGTCACAGGGTTTTACACTCAGAGAGGACCACCATTCATGGAGCTGATGGCATGCTGATGTTGTTGCAGCTGGCCATGGCAGACATTAATAAGCAGGTAACAGGTCATTGCTTTAATTCAAACATCCAGCTTCTCCAGTGGATTAATTTGTATGCAAACACAAATGCACACAAACAATTCATTCACACACAAAGCGGTCTAAAATACAGATAGGCCTATGATAATGTGAGGAAATATGCTTGAAATGCGTCCCAATATACCAGTCTGCCAGTTTTAATGACTGCTGTCTTTGTTGATGTGAGCTGTTGCACAAAACAGTAGAAAAATGTATTTAATTAGGTAAAAATATACAATTTTAAGTGCTTTATCCCCACATAACTCCTGTTATTTCTTGATATGTAACACGATGGTCTTCAGGTCCCAGTGGTCATGGAAAACCTGGATAAGTCATAAAATTCAAAATCACATTTTCCAGGCCTGGAAAAGTCACTGAATTAGTCAAAATGCAAGCACTGAAAGTTTTGGAAAAGTCATCCTCCACATAGTGGTACATTACATAATATTATTTAAAGTGGCTGATGACGCAATGTAGCTCTAATATGTGCTGGTGAGTGACGTTTTGGTTACCATCATGTCTTTATTTTTTTTCTGAAATTATGTTGGAATAAAGTTTGAATCTGATGTGTTTGGACAAGTGGGACAAGAAAAAGTAAATTGTCATTATGGGTTCTTGAAAAGTCATGAAAATGTGTGGGATCCCTGAATATATTATGAAAAAAT